ACTATGCTACTTGTACTCCTGCCTATGATGCTTCACCTTTCGGTTACTATAATCCTCATATAAACCGTGCTTCGATTTCTGCTCGTCAATGCGGAAATTCTCATAACGACTATTATGCTCTCACGAAACCAAGATCACCATTTTCTTCTTATTACGGCCGAGAGGCTAGTCCTTCGTCAGTAGCAATGGCTAGACCACCTTACCAAGAAAGTTACGCTGATCAAACTCCCGAGACCTTATCTGCCAGAAGTTTGGGCGATAAAACTGGCAAGCACGCTTTCTTTGAAGCCAGAGAAGAAAATAAAGTACAATTTCAAGCTCATGTTGATGATGAAGAGACTCAAGTAACCCAATTCTCACCCTTATCAATGACACCAAGATCAAGCCGAGCTATCAAATTCACAAAGCCCCTGGCTAAATTCGTACAACCTATACTACCCATCAAATATCACGGCAATGGTATCGATCATGGTTTTGTCATCAACGATCGCCCGGTTTCCAATATTGAATCATCCAAGGACCGACCTTCAATTCATCCATATTACTTCAGTTCAGACGCCTCATCAAGAGCTGTGGAGAGTCCAGTCTTGGAAAGACATCCAATTAGATCTGGCCTAAGTATTGACGACATCATTGACAACTCTTCAGTTAGCAAGAAGAGAAAGGCTGATGAGATTTCCCACGATGAATTAATCAAAAACGAGGTTCGAGATTGGGTTTCTGGTGTCAACGACTCTACAAAGTCGCAAGCTGCTATGATTACACAAGAAGAAACTACTGGCCCTGAATCCTCAGTACATACAACTCATACCATCCATCACGCTCAAGAGGTTCAATCGGATGTGCAACTGCCCACAGCTAATGCTGCCACCCAACAAAACAAACTTGCAGTCTTGGCTACTACTACATCAACTGGACCTGAAAATCGACCAGTTAAGAGAATCAAGATGAGAAAGTTTGTTGAGGCTGTAGGATATTTTGCACTCGGAGGAGCTGCTGTTGGTGCTGGTTTGTTTTCGGCACTTGTAGCAACAGCTCCAGATTTCGTTTAAGCTCAGTAAGGGATAACAGTCCGGGCCGAATTACAACACAACAGCAATTTATCGAGAACTTGTGATACGGATGGATAACGGGAATAGGAATGAATATTGGGGGGGAATGGTGAAAGGGGGGATATTATACCATGGTATTGATGGAAAGAAGCACTGGGTGCATTTCTTATTCTACCGAAATTATGATGGGTTAATGTGTCTAAATATTGACAAAGGATATATGCCGCGTTTTGAACATTGCGTGGCTGGCGTTTGAGGGACTGACGTGCTCGCTGTCAATTTGTTTATGAGGATAGTGGAATGGATGGATTAGGTTGCGATGGATAAACGATTTCCTTGGTTGACTGTGGGATGGATAGGGGAGTTTCTCATATCACAACATACAATAGGTACTATGGCCTTTCTTCTCATTTGTTTTTTGTTTATTGGCTTTGGTTTTTACAATGGTGCGGGGGGTAAGGGGTAGTTGGGAGTTAGTTGAGGCAACATTAGCCGGGTAGTTATGAAACATAAATATGCTGAGATAATTAAATATGGTTAGTAAATACAAAAAAAATGGAAAATTTGTAATTGAATAATGAAATGTGATTATGGTATATGGTTTTCAGTTGAGTTTTTGAATGGATATATGATGTAGAATGTATTAAATGCTGTTATAATTCATGGGATGAATATGGAATTCGATATCGGGAAGAAACTTTATTTATTTGAGACTATGAAATCGAACTGAATGAATAAATGATCTTGAGGTGATGTTTGTAGATACTTTTTTGGAGGTGGCTAGAAGTTAGAAGTTGGTTGGGTGGTATTTGAATGGAATGGGATGGGATAGGATTCTGATAGTATTTGAATGGATGTGGACGGATGTAGATGGGGATGGGGATGGAGAGAGGGAAAGGAAGACGGGATTTTGTGGTGGGTGGTGATGGAGAGGGGAGAGGGGAGAGGGGAGGGTGTTGGGCTTATGGCTATGGTGACCAACGAGGTTGAGTATTTTTAGGTAGCTAGCGGCTATTCGCAGGCGAGAAAAGGTTTTTGGGACTTTGTGGAAGATGCTTTGTGGAAGATGCTTCGTGGAAGATGAGGAAAGGAAGTCAGAAGGAGGATGTGCGAATGAGATACTGGGTGGAGGGTGGAAGGAGCTAGGTACTTGAGTTGATTGAAGTGAATTGGTCTTTTTGGTGGGGGGGGGAATGTTAATGTATATTTTATAATTGATGCTTAGGAACTGAGTTTGAGATTGGAATGGATTGAGAGATTGAGGAATGGGGTGGAAAGGGAATGGGATGAGGTGGGGTGGAAAGGTGGAGTTGTGTTTTGATTTTTGATTTTTGGTGCGCTTTGGAACTTCTGGGTTATGGGCAGAGTATAGAGTATAGGGATTGTTAAGGGGGATGGAGTGTGGAGTGTGGAGATTATGAAATACGTATTGCGGTTTCGATTGCGATTTTGATGATGATGGGGGAGGGAGGATTAGGTTGTAATAGTTTGCCATTTTGGTTGCTGGTGGTTGGTAGCTGGAGATCTGAAACCCTAGGGAGGGATTGCAATGCTAAATCTATTTAACATAGTGGAAGTAATGAGCTGATGACTGAATTATAGTATCGAAGGGGAGAGTGATATAATGGATACCGAGGTGTATATACTATGTGGGTACTAATTTACTAGTAAATTGTAAATATAAAGAGAATTGTAGTAGAGGGAAATAGAAAGCTAGATGGTGTTATGAAATCATATATTTAGAGATAAGTACTAGGTACATACCGAGAAAATAGAAAGCTTTGAAGATATCAAATGTTGGATCTCTTCTTATTGCGAGTGTCTTTGTTTGTTGTGCTTTGGGGCTGTCTAAGGGTTTGGGGTTTGGAGATCGTAGGGAAAAAATGATAATGCAGAGAAGGGGTTGATGAGATGTGGGTGTACCTGTTGTATTTATCTATTATGTATTTATTTATGTTCATCTGAATGGCGAAATAATCATGCGAGGAATTAAGTTAGCTGTGGGATATCGCATCAGACTCAAATTCGAATCTCGATCGTACTAGAGATTGATATCTACGTGTAAATATAAAATAGATGCGTCAAATGAATAAATGAATACTCAGAGTTTTAATCTGAAAGATGATCAGCGGCTCGCTCGCTTATGAAAGGGGTACTGGGATACTGGGGTGGAATGGGTGGCGGAGTGGGTCTGATGAATTGTAAATGATAAAGAGAGAGGAATGGAGATTTGGAAGGTGATTTGGTTTTAATGGAATATGGTGATAATGATGATGGTATGTGAGGATTGGGATGGGTAGTGTAGATTGTGTTTTGGGGGATGTAATGATTTGTTTTTGTACAGGGGGATCTAGGAGTTGACAGGGATGTATTTGAGAGTTGTATTTGTGGCTTTGTTGTTGTTGGAGTATCTATCTATCTATTGGGAAACTAAAAATAGTTTTGTGTTAGTATTAGTAGGTGTATGTCGATATTGATTATTTGACATGAGATTTGGTATAAATCACCGCTAAACACCACATCTTATTTAAAGAGAGGGGTAGTCTGATTTTATAGTCTAGTCATAGAGTCATGCGTTCACATGTACCAAACCCTGTAGCTTTATATATACGTACTGATTTTGTTGTTTCTTCTCAAGATGTCAATGCATTCACATATCCGTTCTTGCTAATTTGCAATTAGCTGGGAAGGTATATAGGGTTCGCGGGTTCAGAAGAATATCTGAACGTGTTTTTCGAGTTTCTCCTGTTTAGTGTATTAGCCACTATCTTTCTCATTCTCATGCTTCAGCTAGAAGGTCAAAGAAGGGATGAGGACGCAAAGCAGAAATTGTGGTATAAAAGAAACTGAGGAGGAAGGGAGATGTTTGGAAGGATGATAATTTTTTCTAATTGAGTGAGTGAGTGTGATACTATAAAAAAAGTTAATAAAGTATTTGAAATCTCTGATAATCATAGTCGGTGATAAAGATTAGGCTACTCTTACAGTAATGAACCTAAAGATTCAAGATAGCTCGACTCCGCGAAGAAGAAGAAGAGCAAGTCAAAGAGGTTGCTGTGAGGGCTAAAGATGTTACATTCGCTTTATTGCGCTACCAAAAGCAGAACTAAAACTTATCGCCTGGAGAAAAGAATCCATGAACAGTTGTCCTATTGTATCTTGGTATTATGTAGTATCTTGAGATATCTAATGACTATTTTAGAAGAAGTCTTGTATTGATAAATAAGCTTTAAAGGATCTTTTGGCTAAAGATTAGAAGGATAAGATGTGTAGGATGAAGCTCATGGAGAAATCCTGGTTAGTTCTTGCTCGATATTCGGTGTTCTATTGATAGAGTTGGGTTTAAATAGAATTTCAATAGTAGGATCAAGGTGAAAATTTACATGTTCTAGTGGTAATTCGACTAATAGGAAAGAACAAGATTTTCGTGGTTGGCACTCGCAGTCAAATATCTTAGATTGGCCATATCATGTGGAGCTGTCAGACTTCCTTGCCAGAAAGGCAGAAAGATAGTGTGAGAGATGATGAAAGGGATTCATTAACACTTGTGTGTTATGAATTATGAATAATGTGATAGAAGAATTTAAAAAAAGCCATGATATCGAAAAGAAATAGTGTAGACAAGCTTGCTTCAGTATTTTCAATTCATGATGAGCATTATTTGAAGGATGTTCAAAGATTAATCTAAATTTGATTTACACGATTTGAGAGTGCTGCAGGCATAGACATAAATTCAATGTTTTAAAGTACAAGAACAGGAAGATAAAGATCATTGATGGGAAAGGATTATAACTGTCAAGTTTCCATCACACACCTGTTAATCCTCTCATCTTATGTTTCGTATCTGCGTTGCAACTTATGCATATTCCATATTCCAGTCTATTTACAAGTATCTAATCCAGCCAATTATTATACCGTGATTTTTCACGACACCGCATCGAGCTTCATCTAGGGTCTAGGGTCTAATTCAGGGTTGTTCGTAGTGTCAATTCCAATGGTGATATACCCAATCATTCCCTTGGTGATATCCTCTCCATCAACTGCAACAATATCCATAACTGGATTATATCCATGAGCGAATCCATCCGAATAGTAATTATCCTCAGCATTTGTGGTGCGGTTGATTTGAGTATGGCTCACATAAGGTTCCTGAGCCATGATTGTCTCGGTGACAGTATCGTTGAAATAGAATTGACCGATCGAGTTTGAGTTTCCAGTTAAAAGGGTACCGTTAGAGTGGAGGACATAGTCGGTGAAAACTTCATTTTTGTGTTAGTAAATGAATCCACAGAGATTTGATACAATAATAAGGAATTATATGTGGCAAAGAGAAAAATTTACCTTGAGCATGAATATGAATGGTTCTTTGAACATAGAAACCAGGAAAGACAGTCTTCATCTCCAACATTCCCTCATCATTCGTAGGCCACATTCCTCTCAACCAAGTTGAATCATCTGTGTGTATATCCGTAACACCGATTTGGTAATCCGTGATATTCATCTCCTTAAGCAGAGTTGGGAACGGAATGTTGGCGTCTCGACCGGTGAAACTGGAATAACTACCAGTACCATTGCAATGCCAAAAAGCAACGAGCGCGTTAGGAAGTGGTTCACATGTGGCCATATCGATAACTCCCACGTCAAGAGTTAGAGGAATACCGGCTTGGCCTTCGGTCATATCTTGACGGAGAGTCTCGGATCGAGGCCAGTAGTATGGTCCAGCAGTGACATCGGCGGCCAAGACACAAGTGTCATTTTTGAGAACATCGTAGTAGGGCGCTTCGGTAGTAATAGAGTATGTCGCGTTTCCAGATCGTTTCGCGAGAGCTTCTGCATTTCGTCGTTCATATCGACGTTTGTTGTAGTTTGCAGTTCCAGAAGCGCATCGCTTGGAGAGGTTTGCGGAACGTTTTAGCACTTCTGTTGAAGCTTCTTGGTGGGCAAGAAGTGGTGTGGCTAGAAGGCCAAGGACAGAGAGGTGTTGAAGCTTCATTTTGATGGAATTTTCTGGTTTCAAGCTGGAGAAGTAGATGTACTGCAAACTGTGCCGATACTTCAATGCAGACGTAGATGATGATCCCTTATATATGCTTTCCAAACCTCACCCATTACTTTCAGATACAAATGATTGGTCAATATGTCTGCATTTTGAAGACTCATATGTGAAGATTTGCCACGAACAGTACCTGAATGCCGAACAAATCGCATCATCCAAGGGGTCTCCCGAGTGGGGTCCCGCCCTTATAGCGAAGAGCTAACCATTAAGGTTAATTAATCAACGGAATGTGGGCGGACAAACACTACAGATAGAGCAGGAGGAAGTGGAATATGTACACGCGGCAGTGACATTGCCAAGTCTTTGTAATGGAACCTCAATGCTTACCGAATGCCTATTTCATAACTGATCCTGGAGAATAGTAATCAGACTTCAAGGATTGAAAACTACAGCACTGTGATAAGATACGCAAGGTGAATGAATACACGGACTACAAAAAATTTCTCCCTGCAGCTTTTATGTGATTGATAAGTGATGATTAAATGGCTCTTCAATGATTGGCCATCTGATCCAAAATGTTTAAAGCCAGGCTAACCTTTAAAGAAGAACGACAATCCTCTACCTTTGCTGATGTTGAAGGTCTGTTGTCTTTTGACCTCTACTCAACAATACAGATACTATGCCATAGTATAGAGTTTCTCAACCAATTAGAAATTCTCATTTACCAACTACTGTAGCGTCATTGAAAGAAGGTTCGTTGTGGACATTGGAATGGTCAACTTAATTATCATGCTTAATCTCCATGTTTAGGTTAGTGGAGACTAGCTGACGGATAGATGATAAACTTTTCCCCGCCCGGGTCCCCAAAATAAAACGTGGGGCCAGACAATCTAGCGTCTCGTCAATTTGTTTGTGCCACCCCTGAGTTGTGGCAGCCAATTGATCGCACGTAATGACATACATATCATCAGTACGTCACAATCTAGTCGGCTAAACCCCTGTTATGGTCGCCGAAAATTCGGCAATGCTATACATTAGCCCACTCTATTCTTCACATTTTGGACTGATCCGAGAGCAATTAATATAATCTTTGAAATAGCAGTCATTCTGTTATCTAACAGTTTACACTCTACAGGTAACCCGCTACAATGATATTTCTTCACGCAAGAAAACTTCGGGTTGAAGTATCGACTCGTAAGTACGAGAACCACGCAGTGCTACTGTACTTGAGCAGATACTTCCTATTGCTAGATAGAATCTTGAATATCACCAAATAATGTTTTATTTACTTGTCCACTTGAAGTTGCCGATGTACTCACCTAAAAGGGTCGAAGTCCCGCTTCCACAATGAATTCAATGCCAGCATGCTTGTTCGCCAGCAGACGTACAATGTGCCACTCGAATCAACTCGAAATGATTCTTAATTTGATTGGCACATGGGTTCATGGAGCCTCCCAACTGCCTTTTCAATTGAATAGTAATCAGAGTACCCCAAATAGATACGCCCGGACCTATGTTGTGGCTATGGGCTTTCGAAATTACCTCGATCACACTGTTTATTTAGGGGGTTTTCCACAGTAAAACCTTAAACCATCATGAAATATTCTCATGTAGTTGAACTCAAGTGTTTATCAGTATCACCCAACCACTTTTGCTGTCTGGAAAGAAGAAAGACAACACCAGGTGTACAACCTATTGAGTGGGACATAGACACTGGCGATTTGGTTGCGAAGTTTTCACACGGAGTCATATCGGAAGTTCTAACTTAATGTATATGCACTAGCACCATTATGTCTATATCATTTCCACTTCTGTACTCTCAGTTTGATCAGATCAATACAACCTCCATAGTCAATACGCATTCTACTAGCCTTCTTTTCTTGTTGTGAGTAAGTTCACTGCTTACAGTAACGACAGCATAGATCGTAGTATTAGGGAAGATATCCCCAAGCTCTTGACCGAAGATAAAGAGGCTCATAAAGCCCTCGAGTGTAGCAAACCCCCTACTATCTTGTTCTTTAACCCCACGTCCTCCAATTCTTCCAACTCACTTTGAGTTGACAACAAAACGGAGAGGATATCACCAGGAACGATGAAAATTCAAGCAAAAAATAAGCACAACCTATATCAAAGTACGATGAAATATAAAATAAGCATAACCTATAGCAAAGTGCGCTGCACAACGCTACTACTGCAAGCTCAACTTTGAGATTAACACATATCACATCCCCTCTTTTTCCCCAGAAACCAGAAAAACCTCCTGTAAACTTCATTCCAGCAAGTCTCTTTTCACAAAAGCCCAAAACAATCAGCCTCCAATCCCACCACTTGTGGAAACAGCCGTTCACCAACCTCACTCCAATCCCAAACGACCAAAAATCTTGAAAACACACACAATTCAATCAACTATTTTTCTCCCAGTACAAATCATAATCTCAATAAAAACAACTCAAATAAATAAACTCAAAGTCGTTCAATCCAAAAATCAGCTTTTTATCTCCAAAATATCAATCCATCAAATTGTTATCGAATTTCTAAAATGTGATATTTCCAAATTCTTAACATTTTCTTAGCGAAAAAGTTGAATCAACTTTTTATCAAACCATACTTTTTCCAAAAAAAATAAAAAGGTCCAAAAAAGTAACCGTGGAAAACCCAGAAAAAAGGAAATCAACTATTTCAGATATGCAACAAACGAGTTCGAAGGGTCAAGATCACGAGGTTCTACTGTTAATCGTTGGTTCCTGGGAAGGGGAATTGTTTCTCCGAGCGCCGAAGTTGTGCCATGAGGTTAGGGTAGGGCACTGAAAGGACTGGAAGGATGAAGGAGGGATGGGTATAAACAATTTTTATTTGTGAAGTTGTTACTTTAAAGAAAAGGAATGAGTGAGGTTACTTTTGGGTCTTCTTTGAAGGGTACATGAATCATGGTTATATTCGTCTTGAAATATTTTAGGGATGGCTCGTTTAGAGAGACTTGATACATCTTTACTGGAAAAGGACATCAGGAATTTCAACTTTCTTTCACTGGAAGAAGAGACTTGTTAAGCATACTTAAATATTGAAAGGGATAAGTATGGAGAATTGAATTTACACGTGATCGTTGTAAGTCAAAGTAACAAGTATGTAGAAAGTAAGATTACAAATTACTTCCTCCATGCTAGATACAAGAACCAGCCATTCATCATGATCAAGTATTCTCAACAGTACACAAATTACAATGATTTTGTAGCAACATTAACATCAATACCAACACCAATACCAACACCAAAACTTAAGAGTTCTATCCTTGAAATTTCCAGAGGTATTCAGATTAGAGCATATTCCTCCAAGTCAGAAATTCAGAACTATCCCAGAAGCTAAAGAAGATAGACAATGGGAAACCAATACCTAGCAATGCAATCTGATCTGAACCTTATGCCAATCAAGATCCAAAGTATACCAGCAAGCAACACAAATCCATCATGAAACAGAGACAAGAAGCATTATCACCTACCATACTCCAGTATATCATCAATCCACTCTAACAAACTCAATCTCACGCACAAAAACAAGAGAAAAAATCTCCATCTCCAACAAATGTAGAATCTCAGCCCAAGAAATTCAAAGCCCCGAGTCCCAACTACGCAAACTCAAAGCGATGAGTGCACAAAGAGGAGTAGAGTAGACAGTAAGCACCAAAAACCTCAATGATTTCTCCTCCCTCCCGAACGAATACAAAAAACCCCCAGAACCCAATCCAAGCCGAATCCCGGTCCGTGTACTACGCACTACCTATACGCTTCTTCTGATGTTCAACTAAATCCATCAATATACTATTTCCAATTTCCAAATCATCATCACATTCCTGAACTCCATCACTAGAGGGTTATAGATACGTGTCTACAGCTAACTAATCTAGTATTTCTTTTGCCAAGGATCAGGATCTTTTGTTAGACAAACTTGAAAGAGAGGATTAACTTATATCTCAATACTGGGTAACAAACCTCTTGTGCATTGCTATTCCGCACTCTATTCGAATACAAAACTATTCGACACCATCAAACCCGTCATTCCATCTTTCCATAGCATTCATTCATTTCCCACCCATAGCCTCACTACAATCACGCTCTCCCTCTCTCCCAACTACAATCTTTTTTCTTTTCTTTTTGCTCCATACACACTCTGCATTTATTCTCACAAGACTTAATCCAATCCAATCCAATCCAACACCCCCTCAACGAGCCGAGCCGAGCCGAGCCGAGCTGAATCGAATCCAATGCAAACACTTCCCTGATACATACACATAAAGATGCCCATGCACATCACATCCCTTCACTAAAAGTCATCATCATTATCATCACCATCATCCTCACTTTCACTCTCACCCTCCACATATCTTCACCACAATACAATACAATACAATACCTTGCATCGCATCGCATCACAGCCCCACATGCCATTACAACCTCTCATTTATCCATCCATTTACCCATACTCACCGTACAATACACTAGTAATCCTCTATAACAACCCACCTCGATCGATCCCATCCTCTTTCAATAAGCATTTCACAACCCCACAAGCGAAAGCCCCACTCCCAAATTCTCAACTTGCCCAATCATCACCGCGGTCTAGATTCCTCCCCCGAGAGACGAATTCAAGAAACTGTGTAGTGGGGTAGCGAGTGTGGTGTTAAAAGACGGAGAGAGAAAGTAAGCAAGCAAGCAAGCAAGCATACAACCCACATATATTACTGCATGTGATATGTACAACGGATGGCTGCACATCCATATTACCCATCTACGTAATAAGAAAGCCATTTCGCGGGATATACAACCACAGTGTTTATTTCTGCGAGAAGGGGATTGGCCAATTTGTGAATAAATGGAGTGAAATCACCGAGTTATGAACGAAGATATTTTGGGGACTCTTTTGCTATCACGGTGGTGTGATTTGATGCATGTGATATGGATATGTATAATGATGATGATACTTGCAAGCAAAAAAAGAAGCAA